AAATCCCATACACAAACCTAACCCTTTTGTACAGAAATGCTAACTATTTATGACAAAGCGGATGTACATTAAACTCAGAAAACTTATATTGAGTCTATCCTTTCCTTTTTAGCTGGTCATCTCTCGGAGCTTGTCACTCTCTGGAGCACCTGGATTTGTCGGGGTGTGAGAAAATCACTGATCACACCTTGAAGAAACTGTCTTTTGGGCTGGGTGACCTCATGTCTTCCACCTGCATTGACAAACGCTCAGACAAGCGAGCCAAGCTTCTTAAGAGTTCCCCAGGTCCCATCACGCTTGTTGATGAGAGAAACCTACATCCAGTGGGACGAAAGCAGGCCATAATTTTCAAGCAGGGGACTGGCCGCTGGGGTGCCGCCTGCACACCCACGCAAGTATGGGTCCTGGATCCTTTGGACCTTGCTGATATTGAGGACGCAGCAGAGTGGAGTCGACGTGGTGGGATGCCGCTTACTGACGCAGAAAGCTTCGTTGAGACACAACTTATGGGAAATTCGTGCTGTTGCAGGAGGAGCAGGAGGCGGGGGCACAGGACTGGCTCAGATGCCTCATATTTGCATCAGCAGTATGCCTTGTCTGCAGAAGTGCTCTGCGGTCACTCCACCTGCTGCACAAACGACATGGCCCTCAGGACTTTTACTGGGTCTGAGTCAGGCATGACTAGAAATGGCACAGCAGAATTTCGGACTAAATGCTCCTCAATGGGGAGCCTGCAGTGTCTCCAGCCTGAAAACAGGACTGATCAATCAGAAACGAAACGCTCACTGAGGTTTCTCAGCCTTTCTGGATGTTATCAAGTCACTGACTTGGGCCTGAGGTAACGTTAATGCATCAATCTCTTTCAAACAAACTACAAAACACATCATATATATTTTTTAGTATCTGTACAGAGGATCGAAACGGCAAAACTTAGAAAATGTATACACAACCACTGACTTCATACCGCAAAACTCAGGTCTCCAGTAATCCCCTGACTGTACACACATAGGAAAATTAGATCAACCAATAGGCAGAAATCTGACCTTATCATGTGACTTTAAATAATGGGCCCCTTATTTCCTTAATTAGGTGCAAATGAGGGAATGTAAAGATTGAATACAGGTGTAAAAACAAATTCCTGTTTGTTCCCAGTAAATAAACAGGCTGTTGTATACAAAGAAAAGCTGATACATTAAATTAAAAAAGGTCAACTTTAACGAAAGATAAGTTAGTTTAAATATGAGTTTCAATACAAAGTCGAATACAGAAGTGACTTGTCACATTTTAGGAGTTAATGCCTAAATTTGTTTTATTTTTATTAATGTAATAATATATACATTTAGTTTGGCAGTTATGACCCTCTATGAAAATGACTTGTTTTTAGGTAGGTTTTTTGAAGATTGGTAGCAAACTAAAATGACACAGTGGAATGAATGAGTTACTGTGAACAACTGTAAATACCACATTTCGTCAAATTGCGCTGATGAAATTTTAACCTGGAGACCAGCCACAGTACCCCTTCAAACCTTGGTTGTTGAAATATAAACGCCTGCCAGCGTACCCCAAAGAAATGCCTTGTGGTCATTTCCTTATTTGTCTTTGTCCGGGGATAAACACTCTCACAGACTCACAAGGTAAAAACATTCGGCGCCATATAAAAAGTAAACTGCTACTTACTAGTAGTTCAAATGTCATTTTAAAGCATTAGACAGATTAAGTTTAATATCAGTGGTCAAGAGGACATAAAATCACTAGTCATAAAAAACATTTATGACTTTGCTCCAGAGTTTTTAGGTTTTTCCTCCTGGAAGTTATACTTCTACTGCTATTTTTGCTCTTGAATTCCACCATAGATTTCAGTGTACTGCCATCTCACCACTATACTGAATTAAGACAAAGATATAGGTGCTTTTCAAAATGCATATCAAGTAACATTTCTATCAGCTAATTCAGATTATACAGTGCAGCTCTTATTAGGGTAAGACTGGATTATCTGCATTCATCTAGATGTTCCCAGTGTTGGTCTGCATGTTGTTGTAGCTGTAATGAGGTTGCATTGCATTGTGTGTCAGGGCTCTGTCTCAGCGTGGAGGGCTTCCTGTGCTGGAGCATCTCAACCTGTCTGGCTGCCTCTTCATCACTGAGGTGGGGCTGCAGGAGCTGGTGTCGGCCTGTCCTTCCCTCAATGACGAGCACTTCTATTATTGCGACAACATCAACGGTAACACAAGTTAAACCTAAAATGCTGCATGCTCTTCACCTAGTAATGTGTTTTGACATAGGCCTGTGTTAATGTTGTACTGTATAAGATGTCACAGTGGTGTTACAGTGTGTGGCAACTATTACAAACATTAATAACCCCACTCGCATAGCATGTGTCCTAGTGTAAGTAACCGATGCCGCTGAGAGGGGAGGTAAGTAGGCATTACAATACATTGATGCCCTTACTGTCAGAACTTTATGTAACACAAAGTTGAATTATTTAGTAACATAATGAAAATATTTAAATGTTGTGGATATCGGGGTGTGTGTCAGATGTTTCTCACTTGTCGCGTGGGTTGCAGGTCAGTAGATAACTGCAGTGTGGTGTTTCTCTGCAGGTCCCCATGCAGACACGGCCAGCGGCTGCCAGAACCTGCAGTGTGGTTTCAGAGCTTGCTGCCGCTCTGGAGAGTGATTCAGCAAAACGATGCTATTCTGAAATGTCTCCTTTTAATTGCACTTTATTCTGGGAATACCATTTGCTGTATTTTGTGTCACTTAAAAATATTTCTTGATGAAACTGTAATTTTGCTCTAAATCTTTCGGTCTATATTTCATGGAAATAATGCTGTTTAAAAGGAAAACATACAAGGGTAACAGTGGATTTGAACTGTCTGCAAATATCCTGGTTCTTTCTTTTTGGTTTAAAAAAAGTAAAAACCTAGAAAAAAATGAACACCTAGAACTCAGTGGTTTTCTGTAGTTTAAACGAAGTTTGTTTTGTCACTAAAATGATACAGATTTACACCAGTCTGCTTCTCCCCTTACTTTGTAACTCATTATCAGCATAGGGTTAATTTTGTTGTTAAATTGAATCTAACGTCGTCGTTTATTTGATAACAATGTGTGGTGAAACAAAGTGGTCTGAGTTTTGGGTGAAGCTGACCGCTCCAAATGGCACTCAGATTGTTGATGGTTAGGTCCCTACATGTGACTCTTTTTCGCTGCCTTGTGCTGCCGTACATTGATGTTCAGTTCACTGTTGATGCTGGCACAGCGACAGTATGCACAGACATAGGAACTGGTACTTGATGTTGCAGTGTAGTCCTTAACCCCCCCCCCCCCCCCCTTTTTTTTGTTTTTTTTACATTTGTGATACTAAATGTCCAGAAAGAGTTTCTTGCTTTCACTTTTCTTTATGCACTCCAGTGGGCAAAGAAATGGACCAGTGTTCTTGTGAGAAAGATTGAAGAGTTTGTAGAGAAATAGAAAAGCGGGATTAAAAATAGTCAATTGGGAAAAGTCTTCAGGGTATTTGGCCAGCTAGAGTACTGCATCATTTATGATACTGCAGCAGAATTTATTTTCCTGTTCAAAAGCCTTGCATGATTTCTGTTGAAAATTCACAACAAATTAATAAAAACATCTTGGAGTTAGAAACTGTGCAGTTGCTTATTGTTATTGTGTTAACAAAAAAGTATCGAACCACCAACCTTCTAAGTAGTAGGTGACCTGATCCACCACCTGAGCTACAGCCGACCCAATGTCAGTAAAGTGCCAGAAAATCCTCCGTGCATCTTGGCAACTTTCAACAAATTATGACTCCATAGTAGAAATATAGTATCTTAAAAATGTTCTTTTATGCAGCAGGTCTTGCTGCTAGAAAGGCTGCCGACAGCCTCAAGGGATGTTTATAAGAAATCTGCCACATTTAATAAATGTCAAGGCAAACCCAACAAAGGAGTCTGCATACAAGCATCTTTTTTTTTAGTTTCTTAATTTAATTATGCTGTCACTTTTCTTCACATTTAAACTATAAACTGGCAGTTTGAAGGACTTTTGTTGGTAATTTAATATAAAAATGCTGACTGTAAGGAAAATGAAACAAACCCTCACTTATTAGTGAGGGTTTGTTTCAAGCCAATTTGCCTCAGCAGCTGGCCAGTCACCTTGACTAACACACATTTCTTACCAAGCCACAGGACCATTGGTTATGTTGCACCCTGTATCTCTGTATTGATTCTTCAAGTCTCTGGTAGTCTGATGGATGAACACAATTCCTTCAGCTGGTGTTTTGGTGATTGTTTTAAAGAGTGCTCTCCAAGTTTTTGGTACAGTCTTTCATATGTGTTCACTTGAGTTGAGATCTGAGTACTCTGAAGACTGATTCACATCATTCTCACACTCAACCCATTCGGTAACCCCTCATCGTATTGATGGGAGATCATTCTGGAAGAGTCCCACTTCCCTTCAGGTCAGGAATGTTTCATAGATTAAAATCAATAAAAAAAACAGTTCTGAGAAATTTTGCTCACATGCAGCGACCTCTCCCTCAAACACTGAGATTGGACTCCTTGAACGAATAGTTGTTCCAACTATATGTTTACTTAGCTTCACTTGGAGCCTATCTGCAGATGTCTGCACTGAGCAACATCTGGGCCCTGCTGTGGAAAGTAACACCCATCTAAAGGGGGGTTCTCAAAGTCTTAGTGCCAATTTAAGGAGCCAACTTATGACTGAAAACAGCACATGAAAAATGTAAACCATAAATCTTTTAATAAGCAAGCATTTTTTGTTTGGTTTTGGTTTACAGGTTTTTAATCACTAGCCAGATGGAAATTTTTAACATCTATTACTTTTACTCATTGTTTGGAAGGTTTAGACTTGAAATTGTGAAGTGAATAAGTGAGCTCCACCCTTAAATTCGCTCTACCATATATAGATACATATACATATAGACCTTTGAGGCGCGGTTCAGAGTGTCTGGATATATTTAAAGCAAACAAGCTGTGGTGACAGAAGTTTATGCATTTAATTCAAATACAATTTAGCTTATTTGAAAATGTTTATACATTTTACAGTTTATTTCTGACCATGTCATGAACACATGTCTTTTTTGCTTTCATAAATAAAACCTTAAAAATGTGATTAAAAATTGCTTTGGTGTAACAAAAGTAACATCGGAAGCACTGGAGAGGCAACAGGGAACCGTTTTGCAAGTGCTTTCCACGGACCATTCCTCTCTCCTTATCCCTCCTGACTAATTATTCTATAGTTGTGCTTTTTTGCTAGTGCTCTTGTCACAGCTGGTAGAATGAGCTGGTATCGGCAGCAGATTCATGCTAACTCAAAGTATGAAGGAGACATCGTGAGATGGGCCAGTACATATGGAAAGCTGAATACAAAAAAAAAGTACAAAAAAATATTGCAAAGTTCATGAAGATAACTTGATCTACAGTAATTTGCATTAAACATCAGCTTTGATAAAGCTGAAGCTTGATAAACAGTCAGATCTTACATCATGTGAGGACGAGTGAGGCCAAGTAAATCCACACTGACATGACGTTATTTGGGTAGGGGTGCACATACACAGCCAGGGCAAACTCCACATTTGATGCCTGAACACTGTGAATGCCAGTGCTGTACACTGCCTCTATAATGGGCCGGATCTCAGAGAACACCAGATTGAGGGGGAATCCTGAAATCTTCAAAGGAAAAGAGAGAAAAAAAAAAAGAGAAAACCAAAAAAACTGTTAGTGATATGAATTTTTCAAAGTCAGCTCACGCGCTTTCGGCCAACTTCTTCAGCACTGGACTTAAGATCCATGACACAACACAGTGACTCACAGTAGCTTCTTGCGGAGGCACACCCTTTTTCAGACTTACTCTGTAGTCTCCCAGCAGGCTCTGCAGCTCATGGCGGTGTCCCTCAGCCACATCTTGTCCTCGGATCAGCTCCAGCTTGGGCAGGAACTGTTTCAGGGTGGTGGTGCAGTAGCGGTTCCAGCGGGTTGGCTGACGAGGTCGCCACTCCATTATCTTCTCCTTCAGGATCCTCTCGATTCTATTCAGAGTGACATGGTGCATGTGCTGCGTTTAGCCCGTGGTTGTTTTGAGAAGCGGCAGTTTCTGCTGTTTTACTTGCCTGTCCTGAAGCTCTGCTGCAGCTGCCCTGTCTGTGCGACGATACACCAGCTCCTCTGGCTAAAGACAATGACAAATTTTTGAGAAACAAACAAAGAAGTAAAAATAGGTTTATACAGTAATACTGAACACTTACTTGTACGCTAGACAGTCCAGGGTGGGAGAAAGTTCGGGAGAAAAACGGTTTCCACAAATTAGCTTTTGTGATGTCAAAACTGACCCTCATTGGTGATGTATATTGTTGAATGTTGAACCAAACCTTAAAATTAAAAAAAACAAAACAAAAAAAACCTCAACAAAAAGCAGACATGAATATAAAACTATGCAAAATTGTAAAAATGATGAAGAGTAAATATATGTATAAATCTTTACTCACATTGTCAGCATTGACCAAGCAGCCAACTGCCTGAAGTGGGCAGAAGGTGTCGTACTGCCCGTAGAACTGACCGCTGCTGGGATTCCAGATAAGGTAGAGGTTCTGCTCAAGGGTCAGGACATAAGCCGTGGGTCCCTGAGGAGGGAAGATTTTAGAACTCTTAGTGCTGCTGCAAGAACAAGTCTGAAAAATGAAGCAGCAAAAATAGCTGTTCTTGCAGTGGTGGCTGAAGACTGGTTGCAAAAGTCAGTCCCCATAGACTCCATTATCAAACTATGGAACTTTACAGCAAAGATAAGCATATTCACAGCCAACAAAAACTCTTTTGGTCTCTATGAATTTTTTTAAATAAAACATATTTAAACTATATTGCTTAGAGACTGTGGGTCACAGTGGGTGTAGCCGCTAGCTGTCTGCTTGTCTTTAGCCAATAAAAACTAACACTGAAGCAAGGACCTCTTACCCCTGTTTGGTATGTTTTTAAAGAATAGCAGTCTATGAATACAGCTTGCTAATGGTAATTACTTCAACATTTATTTACAGTCTATGTGCAAGTTTTTAAAGCTGTGCTCTACTTAAAAATGTTACTGTGACACACATGAAATGTCTTCAGGTTTAAGAAATAAATGTCACCCACCTCCGGTATGGCTGTGCCAATTATAAGCCAGGCTTTCTTGCCCAAAGACAGGAAGTAGTTGCACAACAGTACAGCGTGTTCCTCTTCATCACCCGCTAGAAGGGTTAGGAATTGCTAAAAACAAACAACAACAAAAAAGGAGCTACCAAAAGGTACTACAATATGAGCACTGCCCTTCTGTATACAATGCTGGCTTCTTGAAGAAAGTTCACTTACGTCACAGGTGCTCCAAAGATCGCAGGTTGCAGAAAATGAAACTTGGTCAGGCAGAGAAGGGATGAGTGACACAAATCGAGCAACGAGGGGCTGTGCGGGGATAAATATCAGTGCATCAGCAAATTATATCTAATTACCGAAGACGTTTTCTACATTAAGTAATATCACACTGACCGTGGCTTCCAATGGGTTATTGGGGAATTCATCCAGTAGCTCCTTTGGGGGACTGAGTGGTCGAATGTAACGTGTGATGAAGACCGTCTTCCCACTGAGGTCTATGACTGTGGTAATGCAGGGTCGGTCTGGGTATCTCTGAGCTGCGTCCCTCTCAAATCTCTCTGAAGCTTGCAATAAGCGCTCATCCTCTTGGGTGTCAAACTGCAAGAGAAGGTCAAATGAACAATGAATAAGGGCACAGAGCGATAGCTAAAAAGAAGTAACTTCAAATGTTGTGTCATGAATGGGTGATTAAAGGAGGATAAATGCTCTAATGGAGCAGTTACCTTCATTTCCTTTATCTAGTACATGCAGCAAAAGCAAATAAGCGATACAAGAGGATGACAGAAATAAGAGGAAATTAATTCATAACAAATTGTTTCAAAAATAAGAAACATGCATGTAGGTGTCTAAAATGTATAGGATCTATTTAAACACTTAAGCAGACATACTTTGCTTTGCTCATTTTCTTACGTTACATTAAAAATTGCTTAAGTTTCAAACAATGAGCAGGGCTTTTCCTACACAGAGAAAATTTCACTTGGCGCCAATGAACATCACCGGGATTGTGAGACTAAGTAATTTTTGAAAAATGGGGCTTCCTTACTTAAGCGTTTTTGTTTGTCAAATGGCTATAAATCATTCATTACTTTATGTATCATTTATGTATCACCTGACAACGCTATGACCTATTCTGAGCAAAGAATAACTCTTAAGAGGTCAGCCTTTATTAAAAGGCATTCCTTAAACCCAAAACTCTTCCTTTGGTTTTAGTTTTTTACTTTTTCCTTCTTTGGGTTCTGTATGTCAAAGGGAAGAGATATTCCCAACATGGTAATCTCATGGACATAGCTCAGTATTTGAGCACAGAAGCCCCACCAATCAGATGGAAAATGGCTGAAAAAGTGAGTAGGTAAAATTACTAATAATCAAATCAAAACATGGAGCTAGAAATGAGCATACTAGGTCTCCTTTATATATATAGAGAGAGAAAAGCTTCTCTAAAGACTCATTGCAAAGTCAGATTACCAAAGCATGATGCTGAATGACTAGGGGTTTCTTGAGGTCGCCGTTTAAACTTACCTTCTCCCTAACAGACTCTCCAGGTACCAGCTGTGGATCGACAGTGATGAACAGCGTGATAAATGTTCCCTCACTCAGACTTCTCAAGATATCAAAACCACTATTAGTGAAGTGGCTCTTCTCCTTGCTGTAACCCAGCAGCACAGCTGGCGTGTTCACTTTAAATGTCCCATCAATCTAAGAGAAATGTCAGTGAGAAGTCCAGTCAGTCACAGCCATTTAGTGTGTATACATCATGTCTGCTTAAATCATAGACGCACCTTGGACTGAGAATAAATTGTGCTGAAAGGAATCTTGACTGAGCCCAACCAGCGCTTCTCTATGTGGGTTTGAATTGATTTCCCTCTGTTTTTGTCATTCTGAGGAGCAAAAATACAAATAATTCAAGCAGCAAGTACTGGTATGACACAATGAGGGTGAGGATGCAGAATTTTGTTAAATTTATTTTTAGATTCACTCTTGAAGAGCATAAAAACCCACAAAAATAGTCAAAGGTCTTTAGGAGATATCAATAAAGGCCAAAGTCAAGTTGGCAATTACATTAATATCTGATAATACAGAAATTAATTGTATTATATCACTAAAATGACATGTGTTGCTGTCTACATAGATAGAAATTCACATTTAACAGAAATTAAACATAAGCCATTTTTCACAGTATAACCTTTTATTTCACTTATCTGACTTTAAAATCAGGGACTCGCTCACTGTTAGCTGTTATTACGCTGCCTTAGAGACGTTAAACAGTGGATGTCCTTAGTTTCTTTTGTTTTATTAAATGAAAACAAAACAGAGATTGTCATTTTTGTCATCGACAGTGCTCGGGGCCCCTTATCTTATTGTAAGACAGATATTAAAACCCTTGATGTGTAACTTGATGGTTCTTTTAAACCGTGTAGGCAGGTGAGTGCAGTAGTCCAATCTAGCTTTTTCCATCTGAGACAGCTAGCCAAAGTAAAGCCATATGTTCCAGCTAATCTCTTTAAACGTGTTATTCATCTGTTCATTACATACAGACTGGAGTACTGCATTTCTCTGTACTTGTCTGTACCAGTCTTCTATTTATAGTCATGGCGAGAGAGCCTTTTCTGTGGCAGGTCTCATACTCTAGAATAGTCTGCCTCTAAATATTAGATCTGCACAAATCTTTACTGAGGACACATTTTTATGACCCCAACATTTTTTGTTTTTACAGCCTTGTTGTTGTTTTAGTCTTATCCCTTCTCGTTTATATTTTATTGCATCACTGTCATGCATTTTATTTATTTTAGTTGCATTTTAGTTTGTAAAGCATAGTTTGAAATGTGCTATATAAATAAACTCGATTTTTACCATTTGATTCACGGATATTAAACCAGGATCTTAAACCGAAATCTAAACCTGACAGGAAAACAATGGAGGGATGTGAGAAGTGAGACAAAGTGAACAGTGTTTACTCACCATCACAGTCTCATGTACCACTTCATCAAATATGTTGATGAAAACCTCATCTTTGACTGACTGCAGGCTAGCAGTGCTGTAGTCACCATTTGGAGCGCTGTAGAGAGGAACATTAGGTAAGTAACACCACTCAGCAGCCATTGTGCTGGGCAGTTATTTTGAAAAACAATGATGGGAAAATGCATGTTTAGAATCACCAGTCAAATCTGATGAAAAGTGCTCAAAAAGTCTCTCTTATAATGGTATCTGGTCAAAAACACCAAGCTTTCACTTTGTGATACACTGCATTAGCCAGCTCAGTTTCATTCTGATTAAAGGAGCCTGTGCAGGACAGGTACAAAGGCATGAGGAGATCCTAAACAACAACTATTTTTGTGCATGCTTGAGTTTTTGTGGATGAATAACGGAAAACAAAAAGAAAATCTTTAAACTGTTAATTAAAAGTCACACATGGCTAGCCTCCCATTTACAATTATAATGGGCATTTCAAAAAAAATAAAATAAAAAAACAATAAAAGAGATAATTAATAATAAAAGAAGCAGAGTAAAAAGGAATCCAATAAAACACAACATACACTTACGATCAGTTATACGACATACAGCATCAAGTAAAACAGGTGCTGAGGCTAAATGCCTTGTAACTATAAATGTAAACTGACACTTTAGGGTGTATTGTAAAGAGTTATAGTTGGCCAGAGCATAGAAACTAAATGTCTTCCAAACGCAGGATAGACTTGAAGGATTTGCAACAACTGGGACTTAATGGACTCAGTTTGAGTCCCAGAGCACTAGCAGAGAAGTGAAGTAAAATGGCAGTTTCCCAGTGAGAGCCACAGAAGTAAACAGCCACACGGCACTTCTGTGAGACCACCCACATCGTACTATAAAAGCTGGTAGTAATAAACCTGAGGATATAAAGATGTAGGATGGAGAGAAAAGTGTCTTATATAAAGTTTTTCCTTCAAAACACGTAAGAACGCCATTTATTTTCCTTTTCCTGTACAAGAAAATTATTACTTTGTTATAGTTTGTCAACAAGATTGTCCAACATTTTGAAATTCATATTTATAGTTTAATATGCATCAAAAATGCTAAGGTGTTTATATTCTGAATTCCTCTTTATATTGGGACACTAAATAGTGGAAATCTACAAATCTGACAGTCCAACAGAGAGATCATTCAACACAAAGCCCCCCCCCAAAAGGAAAAGAGACACCCCTCCACCCCCCAAAAAACAAACAAGCAAACAAACGAACAAAAAAAGAAAAACCCAACTCACCTAAAAGGCAGCTGCAGCTCCTCGTTCCAGCATGGGTTTGGTCCATCGGCTGTGGCTGTTTGAAGTACTGTGCGTTGGAAGGAAACCTCCACAAATGGCCTCACCTGTATCTAAATTAGACACACAAATACTCCACATACTTGACACTGATTATAGAGACTCTGTATTGGTATCAGATTATGCTCGGCTGCTTGTGTAAAGCAAAATAAGATTAGACTTTGTGCTGTACCTGGTCGGGAAGCCCAATGCTGCCCTGAAGGGCACTATGAGATGACTGTCCTGGTTTACTACAATAGAAACCCATTAAAACACAGTTCAGTGTCCAGTAAGATTTCTAAACATATATGCTGGTTTCTAAATTTGAATGGCTGAACTCACTTGCTCTGAAGCCTGCGGACTGGGATATCATAGGCCCGGATGATGTTAACAAGCAATTTGATGTCTCCGTCAGACAGGTTCTGGGCCGTCACCTTCTTTCTTTCTTTCCTCTGAGGTTTCAGTGGTCGTTTTGGTTCAGCCAGCTTGAAAAGGTTTATTCCTAAAATCCTGATAAATGCAACAAACATGTAATCACTTTGTCAACAGCCTGCAGGACTATTCATTTAAAATTAAATCTTACTGTAATGTAGATAAGAATTTGTGGCAATATGACAAAGCTTTTTTGCTCTAATTCTGGGTCGGGGTTACCACCAACAGTACTCAGTCCCTCCAGGTATTTGTAGTTTTATATGTCAATATCATTAAGGATTCTTCCTGTTAAAATGAAGTTTTTCTTTCCCACTGTCACCAAAGCATTTTCTCATTGGGGTATATATGATTGCTAGGCTTTTCTCTGTATTATTGTAGGGCCTTTACCTTCCAATATAAAGCACCTTGATGCCGCTGTTGTTCTGATTTGGTGCTATATAAATGAATTGAATTGAAAATTTAAAGTAACCTTTAATGGCATTAACAAGAACCGCTGGAAACATACTGTGTCTAAAATAGGCATATCACAATAAGTGTGTATTGAACAATAATTGTGATATTTAAAAATAAACAGTTATTGTATTAATAACGCACAGAATAATATTGTTAATATCAGAAATTCTTCCCTTTGCAAGCTTTTGTATAATTATAGTTGTTAACAGTTGTTTAACTGATCTGACAAAAAGACAAGATACAACAACATCAACAATGATAATAATAATTTTTCAATAATTTTTTTTAAATACTTTTTTTCCACCCAAAATTATACGGATATTGTAATAAATATCACAATTTATTCTTTGATAAATGTGAAGTCAAATTTGGATATTGTGACAGCCCTGGTATAAATGTGCCGGCATATAATCTGGTATCTTACAGAATGGCTATGATTCAGGATGTAGCACAGGTACAGTACCAGTTGGAAGGACTGTGATTTAATCTCTGACTCCTCCACTTTGTTTGTCAACATATCCTTGTCCCTTTTTGGGGGGCCTTTTTCAGCTTTATTGATAGATACAGTGAAGAAATGACAGGAAAGTGGAGGGAGAGAGAGCGAGAGGGGAAGTAATGCAGCCACCGACTGCTCAACGCACTAAGCTAAACCAGCGACCGTATACATGTCCTTTATACTAAATCCCATTGCATTTATTTGTTTGTATCCTTTATTTTTGCATCCATTTGAGTGTGAGCATGTGCATCATAAATTTAGATAACAAAAGCGCTTGCATTTTTTAGGCATGTAGCACAGAAGCTTTTGAGTGCCCTGTAAAGGTAGAAAAGTGCTCTACAAGTACCATTTCATTTACCAAATCAGTTGGATAATGCCCTGTTGTAGATTTACATTTATATAATTGCACTGCATTTCACTCTCAGACTGCAGGCTTGCTTGTGGTTCCTAGGGTATTTAAATGTGGAATGGGAGGCACAGCCATCAGCTATCAGGCCCCTCTCTGGATCTGCCTCCCAGTTTGGATTTGGGAAACAGACATTCACTCTACTTTTAAGATTCTTTCTATTTTGATAAAGCTTATAGTTATGGCTAGATCGGGTAGGCCTGAACCCTCTCTTAGTTATGCTGCAATAGGCTTAGGTTCCTAGGGACTTCCCATGACGCACTAAGCATTTATTTTTAATGCACTTTTTTTCTCATTCTTCGTGTGGTTATACACTACTATTGTCGTAAATCATAGTACCTCAAGTCGCCCTGTCTTTTCTTTTACCTCACCCCCAACAAGTTGCCCTTCTCTTACAATGGTTCTCCCAGAGGTCTGTTTCTAGTAAAAGGAAGTTTTTCCTTCCCACTGTTACTAAGTGCTTGGTCATAGGAGGTCATCTGATTGTTGGGGTTTATTTTTATATTGTAGGGTCTTTACCCTAATGTAAGATGCCTTGAAATGACTTTAAATAAATCTGAAAAAATTAACTGGACTGACTTAAAATGCCAACAATCAGATGATCCCGTAGGAGCAAGCACTGGGCAACGGTAGGAAGGAAAAACTCCCTTTTACTAAGAACAGACCTCTGGCAGAACCATGTTAAGGGAGGGGCAGCCATTTACTGCAGCCTGATGGGGAAGAAAAACAATAGAGTAGAGCATATAAAGATATCTATCAGTATAATGTACTGCTGCAAGAGAATGCTAAAA